TAGCATTCTTGAGCTTAGCAAGATCTCACAGTTTTAGCGCTAGGATAAAAACTCAAAAACTTAAAATCCTCTCGTTGCACTCAATATGCTGTCGCCAGCAATTGATATACGTCTCTGCACGTCTTTTTGGTCTTTGGTCTTCTCGGCAATTTATGACTTATTTTTTAAAAGGACAAAAACATTCGGGATATTTACAAATTTTTACACGTTGCACGATATATCGACTTTATGTGGAGTGAAGTCCTCCCGCTTGTATGAAACCAAACACCAAGTACAAAGAGCATTGAACTTTTAAAGTTTTTTCCTTCGGTAGGTCCATGGGTGATACACGGTTTCCAACTTATTACTATTTCAAATTTTTGAGTAATAATGATTTTTTTCCGTTTTATATGTACCTTAGGGGGAATCATCCTAAGTATTCTGGTCTACGAAAGTTGATGTTGTCACAATCATCATGATACAATTTATTGACAATTATTTCTATCGAAACAGTCCGGTATTTGAGGTGAGAAAACAGAGGATTACTGATTACTGTCTCTCACAACAATGACATGTTATTCTTTTCTTCAAGTTTTGAGTTAACTTGTTATGTTTATCATTAAATCATTTTTAAGATTGGAAGCAAACAGCGTTCACGAATGCCCTCTTCCTTTCTTTCCTCAAGACTCTGCTGTCTTGACGTTATCTTTCGGGGCGTATAATTGTGTATAATTATACTTTCGCCTCCAAATTATAATTTCGTATAATTTGGGGGCGTAAGATTGTATGTCTAGAGAATCGAAATGAAAGATCAACCTTTGCCCTTGAATTCTGCGATGACGGCTTGCTTACCCAAACAGATTTGGTGATATGGTGCCTCGTTTTGGTAGTCCAGTGCCCGTTAGAAGCATGGCCACAAGTCATATGATTGATTTTTTTTACAATACCCACAGACATCGCCTAACTCGATGGAACAACACACTGCTAAACCCGCCTGCACTGGAAATTCATGCTCGATTAGTTCATGACAAAGGGGTTGCACTTCAGAATTGTTTTGGTTTTGTTGATGGGACTGTGCGCCCCATTGCCAGACCTGATCAGCATCAGACAGTGATGTACAAAGGACATAAACGCGTTCACGCTATAAAATTTCAGCTTCTCGTCTTTCCGAAAGGGTTGATCGCAAATCTTTACGGCCCCGTTGGTAACTATGTTGTTTATCAATACACATGTAATCCGAAAAGCAAAGCTAGAGGGTAAATATAGTTATAAACATGGTTTTCAAATGGCAGCATTTCCTTAATTTTCTGAGATAGAGTAAGTATTGCAAATAACATCTAGATAGAAAACAAGTTGCATTTATGAATTGAAGGCTTTGCCATCAACTTTCAAAGTTTTGAATAAAGCCTGATAGTTTCTAAAGAAACTGTTTGGGGCTGCGTCGGTGGGGGTAACGAGATAATTTGAATATATCAACAAAGTTGAAATGGTAAATTAGCCACCGTTACGTTTATAAAAGCTGACGTTTCGAGCGTTAGCCCTTCTTCGGAGCGAATGGGGAAATTGTGGCTTGTGTGTGCTTTTAAAGGCAGAAAATGGAGCTACGTGATTGGTGGGAACATGGCAACGAGAAAAACACGAATAAATTAGTGGAATGAAAAGCGTTCGTTGATACCTGTAGGATTTACACTGCCGGTTTGAAAGATGAGCTTTTGTTGAAGAGTTTTCCGGCTTTCCGTGTTACCTAAGTGTAAAGAAAGACCGCAGATTGGCATGTGTTGCATAGAATTTTTAGGTAAATTAAAATGTCTAGCGACTCGTTTCGATGTGTCCTTGTCTTTCCTCTCCACGTCGCGAAGGTGTTCTCGGAATCGGTCACCTAGCCTTCTGCCTGTTTTGCCGATGTAAATATTTTTGTAATAAGTGCAAGCTATGCAATAGATTACATTGGCGGAGGTGCACGTGAAGTGATCGGTGATCTTAGTGGGTCGTTTGGGTCTCGATATTTTCTCAGTGTTGTGAATGAAAGTATACGTTTTGCTTCGTGCACGAGCGCATTTAATAGAGCCTGGTTTGTCATTAGTCTGAAAAGAACTTCTGACCAAAAAATTCCCTATGTTTTTGTCGCGTTTGAATGAAATGAGCGGAGGCTGCGAAATGATAGTGCTTGTCTCTGGATCATTTTAAAGTAATTTGAAGTTTTAAGAATGATGGATCTAACTGAGTGGTTGTAAGGGTGAGACGTGAGAGTGAATGGAAAGCAGTCGGAATCTTCCTTTTTGGGACGTTTATAGTGCTAAATGTCGATCAATGAGTTGGGCGCGGGGGTAACCCGCTTGAACGACAGCATCAGGGTAACCACGTTTATTGAAAAACTGGCAAATTGACTGTGATTTGTAGTGGAAATCAGAGTCATCAATACATAAACGACGAAGGCTTAGAAACTGAGAAAATGGAATTCTTAACGTGAGATGGATGCGAAGACGAATACAACAAGTAATTATGCGAGTCTGTCGGTTTGTAATACACACTAGTGCATAAACCGTTGTCTTCAATTGAAACTTACAACGGAACAGGTAAAAAGATCAAAATGCATGGAAATATATAACCGGTTGTAATTTTCTGTTTATGTTCATGTATGGTTTGTTTGTTCCTTTTCCTTTATTTAGGTTAAAGGAGTTGTCATGTAGGTATTTTCAGGAGTAAGTTGGGGGAATTCATGCCACTTTGCATAATTTATACCTATATTCAGTACTAATTTACATGATCGCGGAGACGTATTTGTCGAATAGGTCATGCCTTGTGTATGGGGGTGCCAGGGAGCGGTAGTACCTCTGACGGGGAGACATGCCGCACCCTCTAGGGTTGTCCATCCGCTTTGGTCCGCACCAGGCACTCAACTCTCACCTGTGGCTCCAAGTAGCTGTAGCATGCGCAGCGGCTACACCCCAGAAAACCGCATCGACAGGCGGGCTAAACCAGGTGAGGGAAGCCGTCAGGTCTGAAACCCTCGGTGAACTAGAGAATGTCTACCCAAGCATGTGAAGACTGAACTGGAATGGCGTGCTGGGACCGCACCGAACGGGGAAGATGAACTCCAACGGCCTGCTACTCCTGAGCCTATGTGCAGGGAACAACCCGAAAATCACCAACACCCTGTTTCGGCAAGCTGACAAGTACAAATCAACTTGGATGCATCCAAGGTCCAGACAGTGGCACCTGATTGATTACACCTGATTGATTGCGGTCCGGCAAGTACAGGAGAAGTGCAGGGAACAGAATATGGATCTGTATAAAGTATTTGTCGACTTGACCAAGGCGTTTGACACTGTCAACAGAGCTGCACTGTGGACAGTTCTTCAAAATATTGGTTGCCCCAGGAAGTTTGTGACCCCAGTCCGTCTATTTCATGACAGCATGACGGGTCTAGTGCTTTCTGGAGGTGAGGCGTCTGAACCCTTTGAGATTACCAACGGTGTGAAACAGTGATATGTCCTTGCCCCAGTACTGTTCAACCTCTTCTTCGCCTGCGTTCTCAGCCACGCTGTCGAAGACATCGAGGACGGAGTATACATATGGTACAGACTGAACGGATCTCTCTTTGACCTTCGACGCTTCAATGCTAAAACCGAGGCAATTGAGGAACTTATCTTAGAGGCCCTCTCCCGACGACTGTGCCCCCATGGCTCATACGGTATCCACCCTCCAGCTCACTGTCGAAAAGTTTGCTGAAGCATCCCGCCTGTTTGGTCTCACCATCAGCCTGCAAAAAACAGAAGTGCTGTTCCAGTCCAGTCCTCTCACAACAGACCACCGCCCATCTATCTCTATCGAGGGAACGGAACTGAGGACTGTAGACGAATTCAAATACCTCGGCAGTGTCATTTCCAGCGACAGCTCCCTTGACAAAGAGATTGACGCCAGGATCTGTAAGGCAAACCAAGCCCTGGGAAGATTGCGAGCTCGTGTGCTGAACCAACACAACATCCAGAGGACTACCAAGCTCAGGGCCTACAAGACAGTTGTCCTCACCAGTCTCCTCTATGGTTGTGAGACTGGGACCCTATACAGAAGACACATCAAACTGCTGAAGCGCCTCCACATGCGGAGCTTGCGCTCAATCCTGGGCATCAAATTTGTGACCGCACTTGTGACCAAGAATCGTCATTATTGCCGCCGATGGGTAAACCGAGTGAGGCTCGGATTTATTTCTCCATAAATGGACTATAAACAATTACCGTTGGTATCTCACCATTCATAGAAAAAGTAGGACCGATTCTTATCACAAGAACTCGATATGCTGTCGCTATCAACTGATACACGATTGCGCACAGCCTTTCTCGTTCATAAGCTTCGTGAGAAAGTCCTCAATCGATGCAAAGGGAAGTTTTTCAGTTGTGACTATCTACTTAACAAATTAACTCCGTGTTGTTGTACTTATGTTTAAGTTTAAATCGTGGGTGACGACAAATTTTGGTACGATAAAAATAGAAGTGGCTCACGAGGCGCAGCCGACTGAACGCAGATTTCAAACATTTGCGCATGTGTGAACCTTAAATAGACTGGTTGTCATATTTTTGGGCTGTCAGAACAACATTGTCTTGTGGTAGTTTCAAACAACTACATGAGCCAGGAAGCCACGGTTTTAAGAAGCGCAAAAATGCAGTTGAAGGAAAGGTGATTGGTTGAGTTTCAAAGCTTAGAGCTTAGATAGCTTTGGTTACAAGGATCAATATATGGAATAAACTCTAATCACGCTTTCAAATATTTCACATTGATTAAATCAAATTGTTTATTTAGTCATTGGCTGTTGTTTCTTTTTTTGTGTGTTTCTTTGGTAGGTCATACCAAAAATATAAACGTTAAAAGGGTATTACAATTTTACGCTGCAGTTTAATCGATGATTTATTTGTTAAAAAAAGCAATTACATTACAAATTTTATACTTTACGAAGAGATTTTATATGGTAAAAGCTTCCCTCTTCCATACACACTACGTACAAAGTTCGTTAACCCTTTGAAATGTTTTCCTTCAGTGCGCCCATGCACAAAGCCCTGTTTTTTAACCCATCGGCCGCACAAACTTATCGCCGATAAGTATTATTGATTTTATTCGGTTTTTCATGTAACTTAAAGTGAGACATGGTAAGTATTCTGGTACACTACAGTTGATATTGATACAATCATCCTGCTACAATCTATGGAAGTTACCTCTATCAAGTTAGTAATGACAAAGCAAATGATTACTGACAACTGTTTCGATGAAAGTTTCTGCGAATTCTAATTATTTTCTTAGATTTTTGACTGAGTTTTTATATTTTTTTTATCGCTAAATCATTTCTAGGATTGTAAACGGGCACAGCTCACTTATGCTCCCCTTCTTTTGTTTCCTCCAGATTCTGCTGGGATATCTTCACACTTGCTGTCTTGACGTGATCAATTTGGGCGTATACTGTTTGGGACTGCTCTTGAACAAGCTTTGCACTGTTTTCTCGAGTATGGGCCAGATCTGCATACACAAGTCCACGGTAGGGAGGGGGCATCTAGATCAGACAATAAACGAAGAAATATAATTATACCGTATAAGCAATTAGTGAAACCAGCGACACTGAATAACATTAGTAACATACGTATATGTGAACGATCCTTCGCAGTAAAGCACTATTTGAGCAATAGTGAAAATCAGACCTGAAAAAAATTTCAGGCCTGCACGGGATTCGAACCACTGACCTCTGCGATACTAGTGCAGCGCTCTACCAATTGAGCTAACAAGCCAACTGGGAGCAGGCCATCAAATTAATTCGACATAAACCCGTAGATGATAAATCAAACAACAACAAACATATGAAACATATGTATGAACTGCGGTTATGAGACGTATATGTGAACGATCCTTCGCAGTAAAGCACTATTTGAGCAATAGTGAAAATCAGACCTGAAAAAAATTTCAGGCCTGTTGCAAT